TAACCCTTTTCTAAAAGTTACCCCAAACTCAAAATGCTATTATTCATATCCGGCACATAATAGACATCGAAAATAAAATCATGATTTCCATTCTTGAGCTTAATAAGAATTTTACTTTTGCCTTTCATCAGAATGTTGGAGGAGTCGCCAAAAGTATCTTTGTCTTGCGCCACTTCATCAAGTTCTACAAACATATGTTTCTTGCAACACATATGGTTGCTTGCCCCGGAATCAAGAAACCACACATTGTCATTATCTTTCTCGGATCCATCATAGGCCAACAACAAAGTAGATCCCGCTTCATTACTTGCATTCTCGGCATAATTCACATTTTCTTCAACACCTTTATTTGCACTTGCCCAACACTCATTGCTATAATGCCCAAACTTGTGACAATTGAAGCATTCAATATTCCTCTTGTCATAACCTTGATTGTTGTAATTGCCTATTGTTCTTGCTCTTCCTCGTCCTCTTCCTCTTGAACCATAAGAATTTTGATTTCTTGCATCATTAGTGAATTGGCCTCTTCCACCTCTACCTCTATTAGAATAGCCTCTTCCACGATTGTCATAACCTCTACCTCGTGTTCCATTACCTCTCCCTCTTTGAGATGTACTACCTTGAAATTCTTTTTTCCATCTTTCAAAGAAAGCTTGGATTGGAGAGCTTGTTCAAGAGAACTTGAAGTCTTTTTATTAATACGCTGCTCATGTATTTCTAATGTCGCCATCAATTCATCAACGCTCGTAGTCTTGAAATCCATGGACTGCTCAACGGCTACAACAACATGCTCAAATTTTAGAATTAAGGTTCGTAGTATTTTTTCTATAACACGAACATCATCAATATTTTCTCCATAGCTTCGCATTTGATTCACAATTACCAAAGTTCTTGAAAAATACTCTGAAATTGACTTGACTTCATTCATATTCAATTCTTCAAATTCATTTCGCAATATTTGAAGACGAACCCATATTGTTTTATCAATGCCTCTATGCATACTCTTCAAAATTTTCCAAGCTTGCTTCGAGGTGGTAGCGGAAGAAATCTTCTCAAAAGTATTATCATCAATACATTGGTAAAGTAGAAATAAAGCCTTCTTATCCGTCTTCCTTGATTGCTTAAGCACCATCTTTTGAGCATCATTAAGCGCTTGCTCTTCCTCTGTAGTCGGCTCGATATAACCTTTTTCAACAAGTTTCCAAAAATCTTGTGATTGTAACAATACCTTGATTTGAATACTCCAATTCCCATAATTATCTTTTCCCAAGTTGAGAAATTGCACATTACTCATAGTAGCCATAACAACCTGCTCTGATACCACTTTTGTTGGGAATTGGAAGCAAAATGGATCACCAAAGATAAGTAAAATAGAGAACAAAAAATCTGCTATATATCCACACTTATTTCACTCAAGAAACACCCCTATATTTTCATAAAAGATGATCACAATATCAAGGAATACAAGGGGAAAGCTAATCTGAAATTTTCAGCAGTAAACACTCAAGAAATACAAAGAAATAGAGCTTCTGCTCATGTCAGACACTGCTGGTTTTTTCTGGCAGTAACACACTATTTTTTTCTGCACAGAAAACACTCTGTTTTGGGTAGTAACTCCAGCCACTTTTATACTAATTTTCCTAGCCAAAACACCTTGCATTTGGCCACTTTATGGCCGGGTGTCCCCAAAAAAAAATTGTTCAAATTCCCATCCAGCCATGCATGAACAAGCCTCCCAAGAACATGAATAGACCTCCCCAAAAATGTTCAGGACACTTCTAGTAACTATCTCTTCAAATTCCATGATTTATAATAAACCCAAAAATACAAAAAAAAACTATCCCTTAAAAATTGAGTTTATAAAAACTAGCAACGCTTGACGGGCGGACTATTGGGGCGGATTTTAACGGGTTTTTTCGGGCAAGCTATTGGGTCTGGTAATATATTTGGGGTCAAACCCAAACCCTCTTTTTGAAGATATTGAGCTCGGGTGGGTCAACTATTAGACCTATTAGGTTTCAGGCTTATTTTTTTAGTGTCGGGTAGCGGGACTCGTGGATAACCCAGTCCATGGACACTCATAAATCTCACATATATTAATAGTAAGTGATTTATTATTGAGTGAAATTATAAAAATTTATAATAAAAAAATCTCAATCCTCGAGTTGAATCAACTAAATTTTTTAATTTGATCCACCTTAAGGAACAGGGGCGGAGCTGTTGTTGGGTTAGAGGGGGCACCTGTCCACCCTAAATTTTTTATTTTATTTTAATTACCTACATATATTTTATTTTGACGGTTTAATTGTTTCAGTTGTGGCCACCCAAAAAAACAAAAGAACAAAAGAGATGTGCCCACCCAAAACAAAGAGGAAAAAAGGTGGGCCCACCTATTCCTTGTTCACGTCAAGGTTGATGCCTTGGACCAAAAACTTTTTTTATTGCCTTCATCTTCAAATAAAGATTTCTCTGTCCCTCGTGCCTTTTGTTTTGTAGCCAGCATTAGCATTTAACACCTAAATCATTGTTCATCTGATGCAATTGGGGAAAATATTTCAATTCAATCCAATGTGAGAAATGTTATGACCGGTGGATATGGTTAATGGTTGGCAGACTTCAGGTGCGGCTATTGAGTCAATAATAACAAGAATTTTTTTGATTATTTTTAATTAAATTTATTTACAATTCTTTGAAATTACTTGATTTTTTTTAATATTACTTGAATTTCTTCAAATTATGGATTGGTAAGAAATTAGTTACGATATTTATGTGCTTTTTATATTCTAAATTACTTGAATTTTTGATATGTTTTATACTTGCACATGGCAGCGAGAAACTTGGCAAAATAGTTTGTCTAATTTATATGTCATTAACTTTAATCGGTAGAGGACTAAAAATAAAAACTTGTAATCAGTGTCAGGAAGCTTAGATTGCATGCATTGGGAATGAAAAAATTGCCCGATTGCCTAGCAAGGTTAATATTGCGGTCATGTTAAAAAAACCTACCATAATTCTTGAAGTAAGATTGCATTCATTGGAATGGAAGAATTGTTAGATTGCATGACAAGGTCAATATTACGGTCATGTTAAAAAAACGTACCATAATTCTTGAAGTTGTAGTTTCATATGACTTATGGATTTGACATACCATTTTTGGAATGTCACGATCTCGTAATGATATTAATATCCTATATCTCTCTCATAATCATACATAATTATGAAACACATAAATTTGACCATAATTATCTAAACACATAATTCTGTGTGCCTACTGAGTAATCTAAACAAAAACAACAACAAAATGATTTCAAACTACTTGTTTCATTCTGAATGCAAAACAAAATGCAGGCAGCTCACTGTTTGAGCGAAGGAGAAAAAATCAGAGATATATGGAGGTAGGACAAACCTCAAAAAAAAAAAAAAGAATCGAGCAATGTACTACATACGTAATCTGGGAGAAAATTACCGTGGGATGCCATTGTGGGTGAGAGGATTACAATATCTGTCCAAAAGCAACACCCACAGGAAGCCGATGTTCCCTAGGGTTAGAAAGTTACATTTGTTGGTGACCGAAGGAAAGTGAGATGGAGGACAGTTCAGTTTTGGCGGGAACCCTTCTTCGCAGACAGAGAGAGGAGGTTCCACGGTCGTTTGGCGGGGAAACCTTCTTGGCTGATCGACACAGAGAGACAAAGGGTCTATTTTGGTTCTAAAAAATGAGTAAAAAGTTTGATTCTCCCTCAATTTGAGTTAAAGTTTGACTCTCTCTTAATTTGATATAAGATTCGATCTATGAATACAAAGGATTTTTAGGCCTCTTTTACTCAAATTTAAGTTTGAGTTTGATTAAGGAGTAGAAATGACATTAGTAATGCTTCAATACATAGAAGCGCCCCATTCATTTTAGAATACTGTGAGATGACAGAATATCGATCCTTGGACATTCTCAGAATGGTAAAACATATTTTTGTCATTTCATCAGTCAAAAAAAAAAAAAAAAAGAAGATGGAGTGCCTATAATATTTTGTGAAGTGCTGATAACATCACTCATTTGATGCAAAGTTACAACATAAAAAAAAAAAACAAACTACAACCTAATAATTTGATGCAGTCTACCACTACGTACTTTTGATTGATATACCCTCTACTTATCAAACGACAGCAATGGATTTTATGGACAAATAGGGTAAGATGTACAAAAATAAATTTATGTAAGATCAAATCAATCGAGTGTATAATGCAAGGTAGTTGATGGACTAATTAATAATAAAAGATAAAGATCGAATGGTTGGGCCTAAGTGACCTAACCACTAAAAGCGGCGACGGTGGTCAAAAAACTTTATTAATGAGAGTAAGAGGGAGAGAGCGCAAAAGTACATTCAAGATGAGATATGTGAGATCTGCCCCCCAAGTGTAGGGAGTTTATAATTTATAGGCATACAATCCTAGTTGTGACGATGAGTTAAAGGTCAAGCTATAATTTATTAGGGAGAATAGCTACAGTTATAGATAGACACTATCTTGAATTAATGACTATTTTGATAATTACTCTCTCACGTGCTTTGACTCTTCATAAACTCTAGAATTTTAGATTAGATTATAGTTATGAACTAAGTCTGGTCTGTCTTTTGATGATTTGAGTTTAACTCATAGACTGGCCAGACCTAGTCTAGATCTGGGCTTGTCAAGATCAATGGCCAATTTTTTCTTTTTTCGTTTTTCGTCCGTCCTATTGTCAAGTAGTTTTGGCACATTAACTTTTTGGTTTATGAGGCAGACCATATGCAACATAATAGCAAAAAGCAACTTAGACTCCCAAATCTCAACGAAACGAAGCCCATTCAAACATTATATCAAACACATTAACGGTAAATTTACATATAGATGCTATTCAACGCACATTAAGAACAATTATATCATAAGCTCATCACACTATAGAATGATGACTATTATTCAAACACTCAACCTACAACCATTATAGAGGTACTTCATCTTTTTGCTCAGAGTCTGCTGATATTAATCTCAAGACCATCGGCTGGTTTTGGATGCGGAAGATAAGTGACTCCTGCATTTGGATTGACCAATTCCCACCTGACATTCCATGAGAACCACATTTCATACATCTATGCTATTATATTCAAAGAGAATCAAACTCAAGAGTTAGATATTACGCATTCTGCTTCTCCGTTGACTAGCTTTCGCGTCAAGCACTCCTACTTGAAAGAAACAACAATGGACTTTGAAAAGTTTTCCCTCTGTATTTTTTGATTTCTGAGAACTTCGACTTATTTGACTCTAAGATATGGTTTCATCTAATCAAATACGTCCAAATTACGTAATCACTCCCACCACTATCACCCATGTAACAATTCATTTGAAATTTGGAAAATTATTTATTCCATCAATGGTTTAGTTTTTCATCGTATAAAAACCAGGGGTTGGGGGGGGGAATTTAGGGGGTAGTTTTCTGTAATACAGAAATTGAATAGGGTCAAATGTCGATTCTTAAAAGAGATCTCCTAAATACCCTTTTATTCAATTTCATCCGGGGTGGATAACCCAACTTATATTTATGCAGAACCCACAATTTATAAGCGAGTTCTCCAACCATGTATAGTGGGTGAATTGATATTGAATGAAATTGAGGACAAAAACGTCGAAGGGAATTTAAATTAGAAGAAATTAAAATAATTATTTACTCTATCAAAGCTTAAAGCAATGAAAATAATTAAATGACACTACTTACTTATATCCAGTGGCTAAATGATGAATAAAAATGGCAATTTGTAGCCGAGCAAGCATGTTTCCAGCACAGATTCTTGATCCCCCACCAAATGCTAGGAATGTACCAGGCTTTGAAGGTTCCTGGGGAGTTAGAATATTGCAAACTCCATAAGCTAATTAACAAATCATCTTTTATCAAATCTTAGTTGCATATGCTGATTGACTTACAGTCCATCTATCTGGGTTGAAACACTGTGGATCCTCATAATTTTCTGGATCTGTGTGGATATATCTAGCCCAAAGTATTACTTTCCAACCTTTTGGTATTTTATAACCTGCATGGAACCTCAAACAAATTATAAAGGTTGCGCTTGAAACTTACGTTGAGTGGTACATATAATCAACTTCACTAAGCATAACTCAGACTCAACAAAGTCAGGACTTAAAGGTTCTACAGATTGGTATTAACACAATGCAAGAAAGATAACTGTTTTCTACCTTTGTACTCGATATCTTTGGCCGCTGTTCGAAAGATTGTTGCTGTTAGGTTAGTCATTCTTATTATTTCTTCCACCACCTGTGTGCATGCAGGCGAGAATTTTTACTCAAGAAAAAAACTGTTGGAGAAAACAAGAACTGGGACTGCAAATAACTGAATAAGACTAATCCATTTCTATTTATTGATTATGGAAAATTACACTTCGACCCACTCCTCACCTATAAACTTTTTCCCACATTGTTCCCCCAATTGTCATATTTCTCATATTGCACCTTTAATTATGTTATTAGTTTCTCATTGCTCCAGTTATCAATGTCTGTTACAGATTTGGCGAAAAGTTGGTTTACTACCCCTCCTCCCCCCCCCAAAAAAAAAATTTTTATTTTTTTGTTTCACTTTGCCAATGACACATTGACGATTTCCATAAAAAAGGTAACGGGCATTTGTATTTGGGGCAGTGTGAAATTAATTCAATTAGTTGATAGAGTCATGTGAAAAATGCAATAGTTCAAGGGGTAAATAGCAATTAAGTCCGTTGTTAAAGGGGTCTAAGCATAATTTTCCCAATTAAATATCAAGAAGTTTTAATTTGCTCATCAAACCCAAACACCCCCCCCCCCAAAAAAAAAAAAAAAAAAACTTTGTTAAAATAGTAATTTGTAAATTCCCTAGATGTGTCCAGTTGGTCTACTTAGTGTGTAGAATTATGCATTTTGAGTGTAGTTAATCATCACAACTTTAACGTAATATCATTTACATCCCTTTCTTTTCAAACCTTACACTTTATATTTCTTTGTTTCCAATATTAACACTTTGCACCCCAACAATCTTAGCCTTTAGAAAAGCATAAGGATTGTAACATGATCATGATACATACCTTGGATGTATATTTCAATTTTGAAATCTCATCGCTTGTGATGAACTCCCCGTCCTTGTTCTTGGCAAAAGGCATGTGCTCCTCCTATAAATTGAATAGAAATGTTCAATTGAGTGAGTGAGAGAAGCAGAGAAAAAGAGAGGTGAGAATCCTCTACTGTAGTAAGAGAAGTGTTGTTGATCAAAATGACGTCATTTTATTAAATAGAACGATGTCGTTTTAATCAACAAAATCTCTGCTGTTAAAAATTAATAGTAGAGAAGCCAAACCGGAGAGAGACCAAAATCAGACGTAAAGGAACAAAACACAATTCCACTCCATAAATTAATGTCTTAGACATACCCGGAGCTTTCGGAGAACATGGGGGCATTTAGCAAGATAATAAAGAGCCCAAGTTAAAACAATGGTGGTGGATTCATAGCCTCCAAAAAGAAGACCGATGATGTTATCAATCACTTCCATGTCATCTAATTGTTCCCCTTCATCATCCTTGAAGGTCATCAGCCCATCCATTACATCATTTGTAATGTTGGTACCCTCCACCTGCTTCTTTTTTCTCCTTTCTAGCTCCTCCCTAAAAATCCAGGTAGCTTTCTTTCTACACTGCAAATTACATGGACATAGTTTAGCTACGTTACTTATTAGGGCGGCTTTCACTTTGTATCCCGAAAGATTTAAAAATTCTCATTTTTCATCCTCAAAAATTAAATTCCTCTCATTGCATGCTTATAGTATTTAAAGTGTCTTAATGTAACTCTTATATTACTTTCTGTTGTTCATTATGTCAACGTTACTAGGGTGATTTCTAGTAGAATGAGCAATGAAAACTAACGGAAGGGTCACATTATAACATTTTTAATACATTAATGATGCAATGTGAGAAATCTAATCTTTGAGGGTGAAAAATAAAATTTCTTAAATATTTTGGTGTGCAAAGTGTGATTCCCCCTTGGTTTTAATTCTAAAATATAGGAAATAAATGTTCTACTCCTGGAGAACTATGAATAACCTGGACACCATAGTGATAATCAGTTCCCGGAAAATTGATTGGATGTGATCTAATTCCCTTAAACATGCCAGCAATCATCTTGTCAAGGGTTTCCAGAACAGTACCAGGCTCTATGTTGGCTAAAAGCTTGCCTATGTTTTCAAGTGTCACCTGCAAACATGATATGATAGACTAATTTATTTCATCATTCAAAGATAAATTTGTGTGTGTGTGGAGAGAGAGAGAGAGAGAGAGAGGGGAGAGAGATCAAGTGAAGTTTCACAAAAAGCTTTGAAATCATGAGGGATATTGGACAGGTTAAAATTTTTTTTGTTAGGGAAATCTGTTTTGACCGGAAATTTAAAATGTTTGTGCGACAAACAAGTACTAAATAAATAAATCGTTAATTTGATATGTGTCTTTGTAGTTGGGAATGGGATTTGTCATGGTTTTGGTGAGAAGCAACAATGGAGCTTTATCAGTTTACCTTCTTGGCTTCAGTGTACCCGATAATCGTACCCTTCTCAGCCCAGGATCGGAGGGCAGAAGCCACCCGGGGCTGGACCATGGTGGCAATGCGACGGAGGGCAACAGGCTGATTAACGGCTCTTGTGAGAAAGTTTTTTAGTCTGATATGTGATGTTCCTTGAGCGTTCATCGAGGAATGGTGGCCAAGAATATCCATGGTAGGCCAGTCCATGGTAAAGTTAGCTTCTGTTTGGTAAATAAATTTGGTGAAGGATGGAGAACAACATATGATTGAGGGTGATCCAAATAGATGGGTTTTGTAAATTCCCAATCCTTTCCCATACCTGATCATGATCAACATGTAAGAGAGAGAATGACTATGATCATTTCGTCGTAAAGTTAACAATTTGTCTATATAAGAATCAAAATAACGTGAATTAAATACTTTAAGAACCGATCAAAAAGTATTATTAACCTTCAAAAATATAATTTAGTTAATAAAATCTCACTTGTGCTGCTTAGAATCAATGAAATCATCAGGGCGTCGGAGAAACTTGAAGTACCAAAGAAAGGAGAGCATTTCACCCAAAAATGGAACACCCATGTAGCCCGGAGGAAGCTTGGTGCCGGTATCGGAACATCGACGTTTAACAGAGAGACCATACCAGAGATCATTCCACCGCAGCAAGAGCCATATCGCCACTGGCACAATTCCAAACACCCATGCCAACCCTATAGCCATCGTCACTTCCATCTTCTATACCTCTAATTCTTTCAATAATGGGGGTCTTTGTGACAAAGTGTTTGCATGCACCTAGCCCTTATATGTACTTACTTGAGTGATTCCTTATTGATTGTGCCAATATGAGCGCTGCTGCTACAAGACAAACCCCTCCTTAACGAAGAATAGTTTTTATACAATAAATTTCACCAATACTTTCTTTTCAAATTTATTTTTTAAAATACCTTTGTTTTATGAAAAAGTGGTTCACTCATACCTTTCAATAGGGGTTCAAAATTTCAATTGTCCAAATATTTCAATCCTATCTGACCTTATACTTTTTTTTATAGATTGTCTAATATTTTATTTTATCTGACCTAACTCTATTCTACTGATCGGTTACCACTAAAAATTGAGTATGTCAATAGTAGAAATTTTAGTATTCCGTAAAAATCGGTTAAGAATGCAGAATTCTCATAAAAATTTCATCTTCTTATCCAATCATATCCGCATTTAATTGGTACAGATTACTTAATTGAATTGTTAAAATGATCTAAAATTAATAACTAAAATATATTGTATTCACCCGAATTTCTATCCGACTTCCTATCCGATTGTTTTGGACAGAATTTGGATAGGAATGATACATTTGATCAGTTATGGTAGACAAAAAAAAATTTGTTCCGCAAAGTATCGAGTAAGAAGATGAAATATCATAATTTCTACCAGTAAGGTAGGGTGAATACCCCTACCTTTCAATATAAAAACGTAGCACTATGGATATAAAAAACTTTATAAAAACGTGTTATGCAAATTTTACGCTACACTGAAAAACGTAGGTTTGAAACACGATTTTATGAAACAATGATTATTAAGAAATAAATTTGAAACTGCATAATTCATAAATAAATAAAAAAAAATGGCATAATGGCTATTGATTCCCTTGCCGAATGTGGCTAAAACTAAGTTGTAATTGCATGAATGATTCCTTGTTGATTCCTCCAACAATATGATATATTAAATTATAATGCTATTAGGACAGCAGCATGTGGGATGTTGTAGTTATTGTTGGGTTAATTAAATAAATTATAACTAGTTCATTGGATTAGTAATGATCTTCATTTAGTACTAAAATCTACTACTAATTCAATGACCACAATATGTTAGGTCATCAAATTACATTCTTAAATTAGTTCTCAATAGTGTTTGTCTTGATGGGGTTGATTAGTCACCTTTAGGATGTCAAAAAGACCCAATCCTACCCCCTTTCTGATCATTATGATTCATATAAATTCTTCTTTGGCAAGCATCTAGTTCATCCTTAGTCAGAGCAGCTAGATCAGATATTGACCCCTTTTTAAATTTGCTGCACACCCTATACTGTTATGAGCCTGAGATCCTTTCATTCCAATATATCAACCAGATAGTTGAAGAATTTAAATGGTGTATTTCTTCTCCTTGTAGGATTCTCTACCATTACCGTCACACCCCGAATTTTCACAAATCCCGGAAGTAAGTGAAAAGGAAGAAGAAAAGTAAATGAAAGGTCATTAGGTTGGATAAATTGATTTTTTATTCATTTTCCACGTTTTCCCAAAATTTTTCAAGCCACTTTTCTTCCATTTTTAACCTATTCATTCAAGGTTTTTAAACCCCTCCCCTTTTGACATTCTTCCCACCTATTTAAAAGGTGTTTTACACACTTAACAAGTTTTTTTAATTTTTCATAAAATTTTGACATAACCTCCTTTGTTTTCCAAACCTTTTTACCACCTAATATTCACAACATTTAATGTATAAAAGTATATCACAACCCACTTTCACTCGGTGGCCACAATCTATCTAAATTAAACATACATCTTTTGTTTTTAACTTACTCATTTTGTTGTCTTAATATACACATATGATATTTATTAATAAAGATATCCTACATATCAATTGGGTTTACACCTTTACACTTTAAAATGGTCCAATGTCTAAATCCATTACTTTTCCAAACTGAAATACAAGTCATTTGGACTCATACAAAATATGTCCCAAGGGCCAAATATCCATTAAACCCTATTTTCTCTCATTCTTTTAAGACTTCCTCAAGTCTCAAGTACTGGAAGTCTCAACTGTAATATGATATCCCACGAATGGATCAGCTCAACTGCTGGTATGACAAAATGCTAATGTCAGAAACAAATTTAAGGTATGGTATGTGCAAGTGTACATTTTAAAAACTACAATCCCATAATCCTTCAATACTATGCAATATCAATATGCATGACACACACATGCAACTCTATGTCACCCATGTCTCGCTTCACAGTCTTCCCTCGTTAGCCCGCGAGTACTATAATTGGCCAAATTTTAGGTTTTTCACTACATGATCTACACCCTCATAATATATAGTATTATATGCTCAACCCACGCTATGTTCCAAGGATTCATGTATGCCAAGATGCCATGATTTTTCTCAATATGAATTATATGAAACATTTCATCAAACATGTGGCGTATAACTTAAAATATACCTCATTCATAAAGTAAATCATAACTTTAAATTTACAATACTTTATCTACATGAATGTGAAACATCATTCAAGAGATTAAACATATGATCAAGTTTCATGTTCATTACTTTAACAATTTTTCAAGAAAAATACAAACACACAAACTACCAATTATTGGGATAAATCATAACCATCAAACCACAAGAGTTTGTCTACATAAACATAAGATATAATATAATAATCCAACACATATACAAAGTATACCTTCTATCATAGTAACAAATTGTCAAGAAACTCAAAAAATACAAAAGTACTTAAACTACTAACTTTAAGTTTTCAAAACAATGACCATCTAAATGATTTTCCAACATCAAGTAAACACCTAAATCATTCAATCAACATGTAGAAATCCAAAAAAACTTAAATCTATTCCTAACTTAACAAAATATCATACCTAAAATAATTTTTCTCAAATCAATAGAGTTGTGTTTATTGTATAGCCAAACCGATCAGTGAGAATATAACCCTTGTTGAGAGGATCAACTTCTTAAAAGGAAGTCTTACAAGAATCTTGACATAGGAATGAGTTTTGGTGACTTGAAACTTGAAGAACTTAGAGTTTTTCTTCTTTTTTCCTATTTGAACGTGTACTGTCCCTTCCCAGACCAAAAACTGATTTTTTACACTAAAGGGGTTATATTTATAGTGGAGGGGCAAATGTGTAAAATGACCCTTTTTGTTCTTGATGAATCCGGGACCCTGATACACTACAACCCGTCCCGAAACGCCTCAATTTGACATTTTATTTTAACCAAACTTCTTCAAATTATTTTAAATGAAAATTTTCAAAACAATAGTTTTTCGCTTGTGATTGGGTTTGGCCGGTCCCACCTGGGCTACATCGGATACCTTTTTGGTCCAATTTTTGAAACTGTTTTTGTTTGTACTCAAATTCACACAATATGTGTATTTTAACATTCTAAGCATGTTTCTCTTCTATGACATACTCTAATTATGCTCCTAAACATGACTTACGTCTAAATGATGTATATGTAGTGCCCTACCGACAAAGGGTGCAGGAATAGTATTCTATTGGCAAAATGAAAAATTTATCCTCATTTTCAGATCTTTACACTTACAATGATGGGGGAATGATCAGATACCCCAGATGTTAAGAATTCTACCACAAATTGACTAATGCTAGTATTCCACCTCTCATCCACTAAGGCTTTATCCATGTTTCCTATAATGTAGTCAGAAACTTTCCTATTATTGGACAAGTGTAAAAGATACCAGTGTATCTAAAGTCCTCAAGTTCAGCTCCCTGAATGGATTCCTCAAACTCCGCCATTTCTTGGCATCAAAATCCCCTATGATAAGCCAGGGGACACTGATATGAGAACTAGCCTACTACATTATATAACTCCACAATCTTATTCTTTTTATCCCTTCATTCTGGGCATGTCCAATAGACACAACAAAATACAGTTTACTCTCGAAATGTTTTTTTGGGTTGAATTCGAATTGGTCCGCCCAAGTTGCACCCCTAATTAGTCGCTTTTAAGGATCTCATCGTACCCAAATATAATTACTCAAATATGGACTAATATTTTTAGAGTAATGTTATTTGAACTTAAATATGTGACATAATTTGTTGACATATTGATGTGCCTTCATAGGAATCATTAGATCAACACCAAATTTTAATGTTTGATGCCGCCTACAGTCAATTCAAAGGTCACAGTGAATTAGGTCAACAAATTATGTCAGTAAAGTAGATTCCAATAGCATTGCTCATATTTTTTAGGATAAATTGTACTGGAGGTTCTCAAAATATGAAGTTTTGTTTTATTTTGATCCCTAATATTTGAATTACATCATTTTAGTTCATGAAGTATTGAATATCTTTCTATTTGGTCCCTCAAGCAGACAATGTCCAGATTACTAACGATTTTTTTTCATAAACTTGTCAGTTGATACTTAAATATAGATAAAAAAATAATTTGAATAACTTTTGACCAAATTTTTACTCAAATTTTGGTTAAATAATTATTCAAATTACACAATTTTGATAATGAATTATCAAAATTTTGGTCAAAAGCTACCCATAATACACATTTTTTTGTAATGAGCTACCTAAATTTTGTTTAAGAAGTATCAAAATTATTTTTTTTTCTATATTTAGATATTACGTGACAAGTTTATAATAAAAAATCATTAGCAATTTGGACATTGTCTGTTTGATGGATCATATAAAAATATATTTAATATTTCAGAGACTAAAATGATACAATTAAAACATTATAAATCAAAATGAAACAAACTCCATATTTTGGGGACTTCCAGTGCAATTAACCCTCTTTTTTATTAATTAATCTAATTTAAATTCTAATCCCAAATCAAATTTTGCATAGTTGAATTTGGATGTAGCAACATAATGTATACACAATTGAACTAAAACTTGTTCGTGCATAAAGGCACGTTTTAATACCAAAAAATTTAATAATGAAAATAATAACATGTATTGAAAATTAAGATTAAAATTTAACAAGTCTTCGTCAAAATCCTACAATCAAAGCAACAATCCGAGTTTGCTAATAGCAATCTCAACACCATCGACTGGTTTTGGATGAGGAAGATAAGTGACCTCTGCATTAGGGTTGACCAATTCCCACCTGAGATTACAGAAAAACCAGCTCATATTTCAGATATTCATTTACTATATAGCAAAGCAAAAGCATTTAAATTATACATGGTCAGATGACATTGTTCTTACTTGCATCCTGCAGCCAAACGATGAACAAAAATGGCGATTTGTAAGCCAGCAAGCATGTTTCCAGCATAAATTCTTGATCCCCCACCAAATACTTGGAATGTTCCGGGCTTTGCAGGTTCCTGAGGGAGTAGATTGCATACTCAATAAGCTAACAGATCGAGCATTCTGTTACCAAACTTTAATTACTAGTATATAAAGGCTTATATTCCATCTTTTTGGTTTAAAGCACAATGGATCCTCAAAGTTTTCCGGATCTGTATGGAGGTATCTAGCCCAGAGAATTACCTTCCAACCTTTTGGTATTTTATAACCTGCAATAATGTGCAAAGCAAGTTGCACCTAATACTTGCAAGTAGGTCACATGAAAAAAAAGCTTGTAGTCATGGTTCTAACGACAGATATTAAACGTACAACTGCTAAATATTTGTATTATTACATGCAAAGCATAGCTTGTTCACACTATATTGTTTTAATTTTAGCCAACATTTCAGCAAATGACCCATTATTTATTTCGCCATGTTATCGATTGCTTCCTTGGAATGTCACTCTCTTCTTCGTAGTTTGTAGATCAGTACGAGAACCTTACCATTTCCATGCAAAGTTCTCCCACAAAACAGAATTTGACTTGTCTATTGGTTATCCAGAGTAAGAATGTGAAAAAAGATGAAGGTTTTTCTACCTTTGTACTCAACATCTTTCGCAGCTGTTCGAAATATAGTTGATGCTATGTTAGCCAATCTTATTATTTCTTCCACCACCTGTACGAACAGAAATTTTGAGCTAACAGTAATAATTTGCAAGAGAAACACATGAATTGGGACTGAAAGACCCGTGTAAAACTAGTTCATTCATCTTCATTTATTTGGCAGAAAGTTTTAATTTTCTCACCAACTAATTAAATTGTAACATGGTCACCTAGAAAACACGGATGCGAATACATTATATGGGTACGACATTATACGGATACGGAGTTACAATAAAACTTAAAAAAACAAGATACAGGTATAGACATGATATGTTTGTAATAAGATATGTTTTATATTTTACTATTATTTAACGACTTAAAAATTATAATTTTTAATAATTCTTTAACGGTAGTAAACAAATTTAGGATTTTTTACCTTCAAAAAAATATAATATCGCCTCATTATGATATACATGCATAAAATGAGCGTGACCAATTAAAGAAATTAGAACCACATTTAACTAGTTGGGTTACTTGCAAATATTTATTTTTAAGATTATAATGTAATTAACTCATTTTTATATACTCTTTTGACATATAATAGTAGATAATACTTAAAAAACACTTCTTTCTTCAAAATTAGATGGAATTTTGTTGATTTTGTGTATGTGAACTCAAAACGAGATAATATAGATTAAAATAAAAAAATTATACATCTTACTCAATGTTTAGAAATATCTGCAAAGTATCCATACATTTTATTATTATCGGATACATATAATACGTATTCGATACGTATCCGATGAGTACCTTGTTTGATACAAGTACGTCAACTTTAACAAAGTATCTATACTTCATAGATGATCATAATATATATACCTGGTACATATATCTCAATTTTGTGATCTCATCACTTGTGATGAACTCACCATCCTTTTCCTTCCTCAAAGGCATATGCTCCTCCTGCAAAATCAGAATAAAAATGTTCAACAAGAGCGAAAGAGAGATGTAAAAGGAAACATACTGCTTCACTCCATCCTTTAATGCCGAAGAGACATACCCGAAGCTTTTGGAGTACATGGGGGTATTTAGCAAGATAGTAAAGAGTCCAAGTGATTGAAATGGAAGTGGTTTCATAACCAGCAACAAGAAGACCGAGAATGTTATCGATAACCTCAATGTCATCTAATTGTTTTCCTTCATCATCCTTCAACGGCATCAGCCCATCCATTACATCCTTCGTAGTGTTGTCACTGTTCTGGTACATCTTTCTCCTTTCCAACTCTTCCCTAAAAATCCCGATGGCTTTATTTCGACACTGCCAATTACAAGTACATAGTTTAGCAAAACAGCTTCTGTTCAGTTGAACCCCCCCATTCACGTCCTACTAACTAGATCAACATTGTCAGGTTAAGAATTCAGCAATAATCTTTGTTTTTTGCTACAAAACGCAGATAAAAATAACAGTGGAGACAAAATGAATTAGACTCGGAATTCAATGTGACCATTGGTGTTTGATCTCGATCGGACAAACAATGATTTGCCATGAACTCCTTCAGTTTTGGGTCGAATTTCTTCTAGGCATTTAAAACTCTGTTTTTATGAGAGATTCCGAATTCAATGCCTTCAATTTTATTAGACTTCAGATGACACATGTTTTTATGTCATACAGTTAAATTGCAATAGTTAATAAATGTGTTAAGAAATGGACATGATTGTTTACAATTGTCTTAGGACTTCTTGCAGTTAGTTTATGCATGTAGGGAAACACAGTGTGTTCGTGGTGAGTTAATTTTACTAGTATGGGAGGAGAAAAATGTGGATATTTCAACAAAGAGAGAGATCAATCTTACTGAATTGGAAATAAAGATTGGAGCACAGTGAATAACCAACCTGGATACCATGGTGAAAAGGAGTACCCGGAAAATTGATTGGATAACTTCTAATTCCCATAAGCATCCCATCAAACATCTCGTCAAGTGTATCCAGAACCGGACTAGGCTCCAAGTTGGCAAAAAGTTTGCCGATGTTTTCAAAGGTTACCTGGCAGGCATAAGACCATGGAAATGAAATAGCAAGAGACGAGAGACGAGAGACGAGAGATAAATTGGATACATGTTCCACTGATCAGTACTATTACCTTCTTGACTTCATTGTAAGCAACAACAGTACCCTTCTCGGCCCAAGATCGGAGGGCAGAAGCCACTCGGGGTTGGACCTTGATGGCAATGCGACGCAGAGCATCAGGCTGATCAATAGCTCTTGTGATAAAGCTTTTGAGCCTAGTATGTGATGTCCCTTGCGCAGCCAGAATAGAATTGCGGCCTACAATATCCATGGTAGGCCATTCAGTGGTGAAGTACTTGGCTTCTGTTTGGTAAATAAATTTGTTGAAGGTTGGGGAGCATGATATGATTGTCGAAGATCCAAACAGGTGGGTTTTGTAGATTCCCATAGCTTTCCCATAGCTAACATTCAAGAGATTGGTACATAACTATTTATATACTTCAACTTGCCGACACACCCCCCACATGTGAGCTAGAATTTTGGACCAAGCAGGTGCAAGGTTTTTAAACATCTGTCTTAAAAAGCTCAAGTGGGTAGAGAGATATTGAGATCTTCTCCGTTATACTTTTTTTCAGTTTCATTTAACATTAATGCTAGATTAATTAAATTTGAAGTCCAAATGATATGGCAGTTGACTTGGACTTCTTTGATTGGTGTCATATCATTTGGGATTCAATAAAAACGTCAAATAATCAACTGTCATGTCATTTAGCCTCTAAATTTGGTCCCTAAATTTTGTCAGTCTAGCATTACTCTTCATTTAATGGTAGACCATTCATCATGTATGAATGAGATACCATTACTAAATGATGGGTTCCATGTGTATTACTCGTAAATGACATACTGTTGAGTGAAAGTGTAATGAAGAGAATTTAAATCCGTTAGAACCCCTCCTTCCCTATTTTTAAGGATCCCTCATATTGAGGAGGTTTTCCAAACTCATGAAAGACGACTAGGAACAAAAGGAGAGTTAGTAGTCTTTGTCGTTGCAAGTCATTTTCCTTTTCCTTCCACCGAAGAGAGGGTATTATAGAATGCGTAAATTAAATTACCCAATTTCAATATTTTTTTGTATATACTTCGTCACTTATGATTTCAATATTCTTTATATTCTTATAATTATCATACCTTAATTTCAACAAAAACATCAATAGACAAACTCAAAAAAACTAATGAAGAACATCTTACTTGCATCGCTTAGAATTAATGTAGTCATCGGGGCGGCGAAGAACCTTGAAGTACCAAACAAAAGTAAACATCTCTCCGAAAAATGGAACACCCATGTAGCCCGGAGGAATCTCAGTGGCGGTGCCGGACCACCGATTCTTAAAGGACAGACCATGCCAGAGATCATTTCACCGCAACAAGTGCCACAAAGCCAATGGCAAAACTCCTAAAACCCATGTCAAGTTCATTCCCACTGTCACTTCCATTTTCAATACCTCTCTTCTCTCTAGTAGTTGGTACTTGACTCTTTGTCACAAACTGTCCAGATTTATCTCCATTTATGGGTATTTGATCGAATGATTCCTTGTTGATTACCGAATCTGAGTCCTTCTGCTACAAGATAAACACTTGCACTTTCATGAATGATTCCTTACTGATGAGTTTGATAATTAAAATACTTTGGGAAGCAGGTTTTGGGTGCGTTTGCCATGACATTGCTCATGAGTCATGACAAACACTAAAGATCAAAGTCAATTCATCCTCATCCTTTGTCCTTAAGCGGGGGCTGTGATTCCGAATATTAAGGTTAGAGGGTCTAGCTCGAAGTAGCTGGGATTCGGCCCATTGAAATCCCTGAATGTGACTAACCCTTTAACCTTAATATTTTTTAACAATTATCTTAGTTTAAATATGAATCCCTAAAATCAAATTTTACGAATTCGGATTTTGTGGCATCAATATTTGATCCATTATTTAATAAAATCTGAGTCTAACCCAAGTAGTTTGATGAAAATTTTTATTAGCCCGGTAAAATGGATAAAAATATTTTCATTGAAAGTAAATTCAATTTATATTGCAGTTGGGATATGAGTTTTTAACCCGACCCAAATCAAATAATTCGGGTTCAATCACAATTGAATATGAATTTACCACAAATTTCAACAAGGTGAACCCCACTTTCAACTCAATTGTTGCATTAAATTAAATTTTCGGATTAGGTCTCTAAATTAAATCTAATTCAACAAACATGTTGAAAATAAATGTTAATATAAAAATCATAATTGGTCCTTGAATTTTACTTTCAATTTTCTCAATTTAGTCTCTTAACTATGAATTTCGCCTCATTTAAGTCCTCCCGTCTATTTTTACCTTTAGATCAAATAAAGACTAGTCTAATCTGATCAATTTCTACCGTCAGATCATGTGTTTTCACTTAATCTAACAGTGAAAATTAACGAAATGACTTAAATTAGGATAATTAAAAATTAAAAAACTAAATTAAAATTAAAATTAAAGTTCAAGGACTAATCATAAAATTTATCATAAACCCTAGGTGTTAACAAATATTTATAATTAGGGTAATGTAAACTCATTGATATTGATAGTTTAAGGCTGGAATGTGATTGGAATCAAAATTAAACACATACTTTCGACACTTGGCAGAGGGGTTCTAGAACAGCATGCATCACCAGGGAGATTAGAATCAAGAAAGGCATCAAAGTAATGTCACACTCTCACTTTATGTTGATAGACAACCATTATCAACCCAGCTGTGGAATGTTAAAAAAAAAATTCAAATTATGAGAGTGGTTTGGAAAACCTTTTTTTCTCTAAATGATTAATTAGGAGATTTTTAAAATATTTATTTAATTTTATCCTATCAAATAATTGTTAAACTTTCACGCACGCACACATACACATATTTCTAATTCAGTAGTACATTTCTACTCTACAGGAAATTTGTCTTTTAGTGACAAGGTTTAGTGATGAACAGTAAAATTAATTGTCAAAAACTAATTTTTGGCAAAGATTTTTAACATTCCCCACAAAAACCCAGTTTTTGATTATTTTTTTTTTTGCGACAAATTTTTTTAATTGTTGCTCAAAATCTTCACGAAAACATTTCTTTCTAGAAATTTTTAACACAAAAGTTGGCGCCAAATTATAATTTTATTGGTGACAAATTTTTTTTTGTTGCCAAAAAAGTTTTTTGGTCTCAAAAATTTAATCAAACAAAAGATAATAAATAAATAAATTTGCAACAAATTTTGTTCGTCGCAGAAAAATATTGTTGAATTTTTTTAGTGGGCGACATATAATAATCGGTCGCATAATCCTTTAAATTTAAACAAATGATCATTAGATTAAAACGACGTCGTTTTAAAACTAAGGAGCAATAATTTCTCCTTCCAAAACGACATCGTTTGGAACCCTAGATTAATACTCCCATTGGCTTGTTTTCAACCATTCGATGAAATCCTCCCTGCGTGTACTCTGTCTCTGCCGAAGCTTCACACCAGCAACACCATCGACAACTCCTCTCTCTCCCTCAAGCTCAGTAAAACCCTCCTATCATGATTAAATATGCTTCTTGAAATATTAGAGGGTTGAATGACCCCTCTAAGCAAGAGGAAATTAAGAAACTTATTCTAGCTTCTCATCTGGATCTTATTGGTATAGTGGAAACTAAAGTGAAGTCTGTGAATTTCCCTTCTATTAAACAACATATCTTTTTGCATTGGAATTCCTATGTCAATTACCAAAGTCATCCATTTGGTAGGATTTGATTAGGAGGGAATCCAAATATTCTGGATATTACTAACATCCATGAATTTGATCAAGCTATTCACTGCCATGTCTATCATATGGAAAGTCAATAAAGCTTTTTTGCTTCTTTCATTTATGCTTCCAATGAGGTGGTGGAGAGAAGAAGGTTTTGGAGTGAGATAAGATTTCACTCAAGTAATTTAGGGGTGGGCATCAACGGGTCCCGCTTCTCAGCGGTAAGGAGCTTACCGCATAACATGCGATTTAATAAAACGACAGCGTTTGACTGGTTTTTGGAATTTTTTTTTTTATTGACTCTGACCAAGACGACGTCGTTTTAGTCTGGATAAAACCACAACTGAAACCACCCTTTTCTTTCTCCTGCTTCTGCACAGCTCAATCTCCCTCTTCTCAACTCATTCTCTATCTTCTTCTTTGTCAAAGGTAGTGAATGCCAAAAGCTCAGTGCACTTTTGCTATTTGATTCAATTTTAGTTACTATGTTGTTGGGACTGTTGGGTGTTTTCCATTACTATTTGTTGGAGTGGTAGGGCTTGTTTTTTGCTTCTTTACTAAACTTAGGTCTTGGGATGCCAATGTAATCTTTAGCAATTTTTGGAGTCAATAATGAAAGAAATTTTTATCAGACTGTTGACCAAGTTTACTTTTGGTTGTTTGGGTTTATAATTGCAGTAGGTCCTGAGTTTGCAAGATTTTGGGCGAAAAAGGGGTGGGTTGAATTCAATTTTCATCCTGACTAGTGCTATACAATAGCATTTTTAAAAAAAATGAAAACAACTGACAATCAATCAGATCAATATCAGCGTACAATTAACAAGAACTCCCATGGAACAGAACTTACACTAGTGGTATATGAACAGAGATTAATTACCTGGCTTGTATTGTAAGAATTAATTAAGGTTTGGTTTCGTATTGGTTGCTCTTTTTCGTTCACACTATTGCTCAGAATTAGAGTTTAGAGTTTTGGAGAGGAAAAGAGAGTGGAGAGAGATAGATAGGGGCAATGTTACTTCAGCTGTGAAGTGAAAGACAAATGCAGAGTGGCCGAAGGTAGGAGAAGGTTTTCAGTTGTGGTTTTATCCGGACCAAAACGATGTTGTTTTGGTAAGGGTCAACAAAAAAAATTTTCAAAAACTAGTCAAACGCCGCCGTTTTATTAAACCACATGTCATGCAGTAAGCTCCTTACCGCAGAGGAGTCGGACCCGGGCATCAACTCCGACGGAGTCAAAACTAATTTTGCCTTCCGACTCCGCTGTACTCTTATTTTGATTCCGACTCCACTCATAGGAGGCGGAGCAACAGCGGGGCTGAATGTCGGATCTATATAAAAATTCAGAGAATTGAAAAATCTAAAATTCAAACACAAAAAATTCTAAACACCATAACAACATATCTGAAATCTTTCGACCTTTTAGATACCTCAGTGACATCACAATTCACAAGCACAAATTTATATATACATATCACACACACACACACACACACACACACTATCACAGAGATAGAGAGAGAGAGAAACCAAAATATACCTCCTCACAGTATCACAAAGAGCTTCAATGGCAGACCCAGATCCAAAGAGCTACATTGACAGTTTCAATCGAAGATTCGAACCCTGAAAGCTTCACTTACAGCTTCAATAGTAGGGCTAGCAGTGGACTGGGTGAAAAAGGGTATTCGTCCAAATCTATCCCGTTTGGACTAGAGATGGATTATACATATTGGATGGTGGACGTATACGGGGATATCCGTATAAACTCGTGCAGGGATGAAGGGATGAACTTACTTTTAACCCCACCCTCGCTCCGTCCCCCTTACCCGTTAAATATATATATATATATATATATATATATATATACTCTCAAACCCTAACTAAACATATTTACTGTAACTATCAATTTAGAAATATGGTAATCGAACTAAAAAGTGGCATTGTTATGTGGTAAGCTTATTAATTTTTTTTCCTGATTGTTCTTTTTTATATTTATACTCACTGATTGAAACTGTTAAGAGTTTGGATTAACCATGCTCTAAAAACAGATAAGAGTAAGTAAGATAGTTTTGCATTTTATCATGTGTAAAAATATTGTGAATGAAAGTTGCTGAGTTTCTCTGTTATAATGAACTAAGAAATTGAGAGAATTATTGAATTAGCGAAATTTTTAGTTTTCATCTTTTAACATTTTATGGTTGTAATATGGATTGTAATAATAAAAATTTTTCTAGGAAACTTCGAGTGTAGTGCTATCGTTTTCTTAGTTCAATTTGATTTTTCTTTTCTTCCTTTCTCTCTAAGAGTTCCGTTTCTCTTTTTAGTGGTCCAATTACACTATAAATAGAATATTATATTGTTTTGGCTTTTACATTATGTTGTGTTAGACTATGTTAGAATGTTGTTGAATTATTTAAAATATTAAATTTATTTAGAATTTTGGATTATGCTACTTCGACTTGGGCTTAGGCGGGTACAAGGAGAAGTGGGGATGGAGACAAGGATTAAAAATTTACCCACGGACGGGGATAGGGATAAAAACTATACCCGTTAATGGAGGTGGACTAGGGATGGACGGAGTTTTTTTAAGCAGGTACCGGGATGAAGACTACACACCCCGCCCTCGTTTCGGTCCACTAACATCCCTATTCAATAACAATTGAGAATTAAGAGTTGAGACAGATCTAGGCTCCAATAGCTTCCAAATCAGATTTGTAGAGAGAATGAGGGGTTGAATTGTCTCTGGAGAGTGGAGGCGTAGACGAAGAGGAGAGGCTCGTAAAAAATAAAAGGAAATGCAAGAAAGTTGTGATTTTTTATTAACTTCTAATTTACTCTTATTTTTCTTAAAATATTTTATT